ACGTGGGAATTGGGGGACGTGGGAATTGGGGGACGTGGGAATTGGGAGACGTGGGTATTGGGGGACGTGGGAATTTGGGGATTTGGGAATTTGGAAATTTGGGAATTGAGCAACGTGGGAATTGGACAACGTGGGAATTGGGGGACGTGGGAATTGTGAGACGTGGGAATTGGGTGACGTGGGAATGGGGGGACGTGGGAATTGGGGGATTTGGGAATTTGGGATTTGGGGAATTTGGGATTTGGGGAATTTGGGATTTAGGGAATTTGGGATTTGGGAAATTTTGTGATTTGGGGAATTTGGGATTTGAGGAATTTGACTAACTTATAAATCTTGAGATATGTCATTAAAAAACTTCAAAAATGTAACACCCACTTCAATCGTCTGATAGATCCACAATTTCGAACGAGTCTAGTTCCCGCGCAAATCTAGTTGATCCGAGTTCGTTCTGCTTCCGACGCTGTTATCATCGCGAACCTTATCAACGACAAAGTACGCATCGCATGACCTCTGACGCAAGCATAATGTACAATCTTCTCCGTAGAACACCGTTTAACCAATGGAGTCTTGCGAAACGATTTACAATTTGCATAACTTCTAAAGCAGGAAGCTATGAGACGACAAAGTAACATTTTCGCGCGATGAAGCTACTCTGTTCGACCAAAAAAGTGTCGCGAAATTAACGAGGGATCAAATTGCAATGTGTCATCGTTCCTCGACAAGACTCGCTGATAGTAACGAATAAGGTTAACGAACTTCCCTTATCAGTCCGAGCCTCCTACGATTATTTAATTATCGTTTCACGATGATTGAAATTGTTTGTGGGATGCGATCGGTGGAATCAGTTTTTACGGAGATTATCGGTGGCCCAATTTGCACGGACAATCGCTTTGAATCCCTTGCTTCAACAAGTTCGTATCGGATGATGTCATGCTGAGAATAGTTACACGAACAATATTAGTTAATAAAATAAAAATATGAAGAATGTAATTGGTGCGTTGTTAACTTTGTTAAAGAGTGTTACACTATTTGTTAGTGGTTAAAATTTTACCAAATTATTTAAAATCGTTGTTTCATTGATTTTTGTTGAAAATTGCATTTGAAGGGTGGAATATATTTTGTATTATAAATAGAGAAGTTAATAGTCTTAGAGATTATTGATGTTTTCAGGGCAAAGAATTGTTAGTTAAATAACTAGATCGAAGTGTCTTCGTTTTTATTGAAGACAATCGGAGGAGGTTTGTCGTAGAGGTATCAAATGATTAGCGCAGCAACGATAACAGCTAACACGCGCGTATCACTGTCGTTCACGTGCGGCACGTGTCGCTCGTACACGCGTTTCCTTCGATGATGTTTGCCGCCAGATTTCAAAAATTTTTTTTTTTTTAGTTACGACATACTTGATGTACTTTGTATTCTGGTGTTCTATTCTGAAATTTGGATTTCTATGTTTTTAAGTTGTACAACTTTTTAATTTTGTAATGTATTTTTATGTTGGGGAACTTTTAGATTTATAGTATTTCAAATTTTTAAATTATTAAATCACTAAATTATCAAATTACTAAATTATTATTTTACCAAGTTACAATTTTGCCAAATTACCAGCTTACCAAATTACCAGTTTACCAAATTTCCAGTTTACCAAATTACCATTTTACCAAATTTCCATTTTACCAAATTACAATTTTACCAATTTACCATTTTACCAAATTACCAGTTTACCAAATTTCCA